AGCTGAAATTGTGCCTGAGATTGTTCCTTTCCATTTTCTGGAGGTAAATAATTTTACTAGTGTGGATGCAGGAATATTGAAAACAAAAGTCATGACTAAAGAAAAAAATGAGTCTTAACAGATTTTGTTGTGATTTCATTTTATTGTTCTAATTCCCCTCTCAGAACCCTGGACAGTGTGTAACCATGGTATATTTCAGCACCCTGGAGAGCACAAGAACATAATCACCCGAGCACATCAGCACCTTGGACAGAGCATGAGATTTCAAGTGACTCCTTCATCTATTTTTTCCCACTATCCTTACTCAAAATGTAACACAGTTCGTTTTCTCACATATACACTCACACAAGCCAAGCTGCAGAAAATATATAGAAAATGTAGAAACTGTGGCTCTCTCTACATTGTTCATGACCGTATTTAATGAAATGGGATTTTTGAGTATGCATTACATTATTAATCCCATTTAACACTGATTTTTTTAACTGCCAGCACTTGTATTCTATGAATTGCTTTTCAAAGATAATGTCTTTCCCTTTAAATTCCCACAGCATCGTCTCTATTTTCAGAGTGAACCCCAGTAAGAAAAAATGAAGATTAAATAAGCCCAAGCAAATCAGAATAAAATTGTGAATGCAGAAACTTCCACATAGGGCAATGGCCCTCTTGGGCCCTTTTTAAAACTTTAACCATTAGTTATTGATAGAGATGAGTAGCTTAGTCCAGCTGTTATCAAGCTCACCAACACCTCTACTAACCGGCCCTTCTAGAGTCTATATGATGATTATTGAAACTGATAATAATCTGTGGATTATAATGAGAACAGAAGTAGGATAGTGCTAGAGGCCAAGACATTTTAGCTATAATCTTCCTTATGTGCAATGCTAATAGAAAAAAAACCCCAAATTTTATTTAATAATGTCACTAAGCAGGTCTATTCCATGTACATCCTTTGCAATGGAAATTCCACTGAGTTCAGTTAACATTTAGTGTATAGTATTGATGCTTACACAGACATTTAAACAGCAACAAGAAAGTCTCACATTAGGTTCTTTGTTAATAAGATAGCAAATTGAGTAAGTAGTTATAATAAAAGTCCATAGGCTTCTCTGCCCATAAAATATTCTGTGAGAAGGAAGTCTCTCACAAGCTTCATTAAATGCAGAGGCTATGTTAATGTGTTTTTTCATGTGATCAAATTTCTTCCAACCCATCTTGCAGATTTCTACAATTTTAACTGCAAAGTATGTGGGTCCTTTAAAAAAAAGTCCTTTCCAATTATTTAATGTATACAAGTTATTCATATCAAGTTTCGGATAACATTAAATTCAGGAAAAAAATCTAAACGGAAATGTGTGTTGTGTGAGCAAGAAAGAGCAAAGGAAGGGTTTTAGTTAATAAATAAAAAGGAAGTGAGAGCAGCATATATTTTAGCCGACTTCCAAACAGTTGATTGATAAAGCCTTTTGTAGAAATCGGCTCTAAAAATTATGCCCTCACGTCATTTTCAGAAACATAGTGAAAGCAAGATGAAAGAGTGTTATCTGAAATAGATGCAATTACTATTTTGATGAACAACACACATGCATAAAAACTTTACCCACATAACACCCCTTAATCAATTTGCTTTTCCAAAAGCTCTGTCCTTTGGAGCACCATGATGTATATAAACTACATATTTGTACTGGATTTGGAAACCATCTGTGATTGGGATAGATGTTGAGTATTCTTACTCTCTGTGTCTCTTCCTCAACTATCTTATGCAAATAGCTAAATTTTGGGCACCTGTACTAATATAACAGTTTTATATTATTTTATAGTCTGTACATCCAAGTCAATGGTCCTTCATTTCTTTGGCAAACACTAATCTCTTTGCATGATGCTTTGTGTGCCCACTTAAACACCCCCTCCCCAGGCTTGTTTTAAGCATCCAACATGCAAATGGACTTATGCATATTGATAAATTATTTTTACCTCCAGTTCCACTACCACTATTTGAGTAAAATTTAAAGAGAAGAGACTGGAGAGTGAATGGGCAAGTTTCTCAAGATGAAGCTGCTGTCCCTTTAAAGACTTCAGCCTTGCTTCAGGGAAATAGCTGGCTGTTATTGTCCAGTTTGAACTGAGCACCGGAAATGGAGAGGCTATTTGCCCTCCCGAGTTCGTACTGGTCACTCCGGCCATTGTCCTCGGCCAGCCGTGAAATCTCCCCCAATCTCCCCCCCTCCCGCAAAAAAGGAGGGGGAGGGGTTGAGGGGAGGGAGGAGAACTGGGAAGCTCCCCTTCCTTCTCCTTCTGCCCCCAGACCACAAGATGCCTCACAAAAGTCAGGCCTGACCTCTCCCCGCTCCATCTGCAACTCCTCCGCTGGCAGTCAAGATAGGGGGGGGGGGGCAGGCGGGGCAGATGATGAGGAAGAAGGAACTTTAGACCTTTGGCTGTTTTCCCCTCCAGGATCATCAAATGGGCCATTTCCGCTCAAAATGTGTAACTCTAAATGTACATCGTTTGGACAGGAGAGTGCAAATAGCTCCAGAGTTCTGGTGGGCTAAAGACAGAATCCCCTTCCTCAATTTTGGGTGTGTGTGGCAAGAAACCAAACGGTTTCAGATAAGAGCTACGCTAGAGGAGAGACGTGAATCCCCTCCTATCCCCAAGAACGTGTCCGCACGTCCCTCGGCACGCGTTTTCGGGGGGGGGGGATTTCTTCCCTCCCTCTTTTTCATCGACCATCGCCTTTTGGTGCTCCGATCGCCTCTCATTTTAGCCGATTGTCTTTTAAGCAGCCACCGGGCCACGCCCACTCCAACCCATCAATCCTGGAGCTGCGGCGAGATAATATAGACATCAGGATCCATCCACCAGCGTCCCTGCCTGCAAAGGAGTCTCAGCCCAGGAGTCTGCTCCAATCGCTTGGGCCATCTCTTCCCTCCCGCCCCAGGATTTGATTAAAACCGGATTGTGCCCTGCAAAGCCAAGATCTGTAATGAACGTAAACAAACTTGGTTAGCCCCCGCCAAGAATTTATTGAGAGGGGGGAGCAAATACTGTGTCTTCTTTCGATAACTTTTCAAGCTAGCTGACCGAGGTGAATACCGGCGAATATCCTTTTCGAATTATTTTATAATTCCGGTTGATTTTTTTTTTTAAAAAAAGAGCAGCCTCTTCCTTGTAAAACAGGAGCATTTGCGATTACACCGCTTCAGAGTGCATATTGAAATGTAATTAACGATTTCAAAGTTTTCACTTAAGACCTTAGACCTTTCATTAGCTCGATCTAAATTATTTAAAAACGTTCTCCGAGGAGAGTAAAAGTTTAGGAAAAAAATAATGAATTGGTTTCCCAATTACAGCCTTAAATCTCATAATATCCGACTTTCGCAGTTTCTCCTGTAGAGATTTTACGAAGTAGATTCATAGTAAAAATACGTCTTGCTTACACATTTATATCTCGTCTTTATAGCACGAGGTAGAGAGAATTCATCTTTTTTTTTAAACGAACGTTCCATTTGCAAAGAAAAATAAAAAGGGAGATTATTTTTCCTAAATGGCCAAGTAGGACTTTCAAGTTTTCAACCACAGCCTGAATTTACTTGGGATTCTTATTAATGAGCCCTTTGAAATATCTATCAATCATATATTCACATATAAAATGCATTCTTACTCCCAAATTACTCTGCCTGTCTTCCCTCTGCCCCTAGTTTGAGGAATACACCGGGATAAATCAGAGATCATTCTAATTTACCTACTAAAGAAAATATAGGGATTTTTTTTAAATCACCCGCGAGATTATTTCTCTCCCGAAATAATGGAGGATAACTTAATAGGGAAATTGGGGGGGGGGGGGGGACCAGTCTGCCATTCTTCCTCCCTTCCATTCCCGAAACCAACCAGAAGAGATTCCCAAAAAGAATGGCGGGCCCGGCAATCAAGACCACTCATCTACGAAAAAGAGGCTTAACTTGCTAAAAGTAGAAAGGAAAGGAGAGGGAGGGGGCCTCTCTTTTGAAACAGGTCGTTTAGGATCAAGCTGATTCGATCCTAACCCAACGGGCTAGGCAAGGCAATGGGCGCGTGTGTCCCTCTGGATGTCAATCATTAGAAGCTCCCGGTCTCTTGGCAATAGCAAAAAGTAGTCCGCATAGGAAGAAGGCACTTCTTTACCTCCCCCCAGCAGGTAAACCCGCCCCTCTCCTCCAATTCACCACATCGGGGAGGGGAAATACCCCCCCCCCTTTGGAATGGCCAGTTGATGGGTGCCATCGTCACATGGGAAAAGAGTGAGTGTGTGTATGTGTGTGTGTATGTGTGTGTGCGCGCGCGCGCCCACCCGCTACGCACGGCCAGCTTCTCTCTCCTCCCCCCCCCACGTGAACCCAAATCCGACAGAACCCCGATCGTGACCGCCCGGGTGGCTCCAGGGACCTCCCATTCAACATTTCCCAAGGCAGCCAAGATGGATAACGTGTGAAAACGAAAGTTGAGGGGATGGGGGCGATGTTGGGTTAGTGTGCGGTTTTCCCCCCTAAAGTTTTGACACTAACCAGGATTGCCCCCCCCCCGCCCCTTCTCCGGCTCCAGTCTGCCGGACCGGGAAGCAGGAGGTTACATTTTTTGGTCTCCAGAGAGAGAGAAAAGAGCACAGGGATTGGGGGAGGAGGGGAAGAGGAGGCGTGTGTGGGGGGGATCTGGCAAGGTTTGGCGTTGGGGGAATTCTATTGTCTCTGTCCAAAATTTGGGAAGCCATAGGAGGCCTCGGGCCCTCCCACCCGCTATTGTTACCTCGAAGATGTAGCAAACCTTGGGCTGGCTTTTTCCCCCCGTCCCTCCTCTTGTTTAGAATCTTCCCCCACCCCCTCCTGTCCTCCTCCCCCCTCCCCTCCCCTCCCTCTATTTTTGGGGGCTGGGGAACTGCGGTGACACCCTCTCCGAAGCAGGCTGGCAAGAGAGAGGAGGGGAAGCGGCTCCTGCGAAGAGTCCACCATTTCCATCAGGGGTGCAGAATGGGGTCTGTTTCTAACCAGCAGTTTGCAGGTTAAGTGAATTTTTTCCTATCCAATTCCCTCCCCCCTTTGTAAAATGTAGGCCTTTCTCCCTCGCTTCTCTTTCGTCTTCTTTCACTTTTCCTTCACCTCTGTCCATCCTAGTTTGGCTAACAAAAATAACCATAATTATTCTGCGCCCACCAGATATTATTTCTGGTTTCTTCTAATATTGAACCTGCCCCTTTCGCGTTTAAAAGGCTTAGTCTTTCTACCTCGGTTTTCTTACTTTTATGGTTTATTTCTGTGACTTTTTTGGGAGGGAGGAGGGCGGTATATCCTCTTTCCTTGGTTTGCCATGTGCTTTTTCTTTTTAGGAAAGGAGGGGGGGATGAAAGAGCTTGAAAACTTTTTGGGCCGTATTGGCAGCTTGGAGATTTTTTTATTTTTTTTAAAGAGAGGGATTTGAGATTTTTTTTTCTTTTTAAAAAAGGCGCACGTACAGATTTCCAAATGGTTTGGGGAGAACAACGTTGCCCTTTCTGGTTTGTATTGTTTTCCCCTTCAGTCTGCATTTTGCATTCGACTTCCTTCTTCAACAAGCCTTTCAAAACTTTTAGGAGAATTTCCAAATACACCAGGACAGGAGCATTATGGGGTTTTCTTCCTTCCTTCCTTCCATCCCCCTAAAAATATCTACCGGCTTCGCTCTTCCCCCACTTCCTCTCCTCTTTTCTAATGTTGCAAAGTTCGGAAGGAAAATGCAACAAATACACTTTGGATAGATTTAATATGTTGCCACCTTATGGAATTTGGACCAGCGAAGGGAGTTGCCGATATTTCCGTTCCTCCACTCCTCTCCATTCCTCGTTTAGGGATTCCCCCCCCCCGGGTCTACCATGCAGGGACGATGAAAAGGTGGGCCTTCCCCCTGCGCCCTATCCTCCCCCCCCCCAAAAAAAAAACCAACCCAAGGGAGGATCCGAGGATGCCTCGGCTGGGCTGGGAATTCCAAGCTGCTCTCCGGGGGCAATATCGGCATGGCGGGGCCGAAGGTGTTTTTTGGGCTGACCGAAAGACAAGCCTATTTCCCCCCACCAACCCACCCCGAGGGCGTCTCGTGGCTGGGCGCCCCCACCTCGCCCGCCGGCCGATAGGAAAGCCAGCCAGGGGAGCAGCCTTCCCGGGACTCGCCTCGACTGATGAACCGCGTGTATGCTTCTAGGTGGCTGCGCCAAGGCGGGCGAAGAAGAGCCCAGCGGGGATTCGCCCAGGCCGGACGAGGACAGCCAACCGCTCTTGCATGGCGCCGGGATCTGTAAATGGTTCAACGTGCGGATGGGCTTCGGCTTCCTCTCCATGACCACCAAGGAAGGCGTCGCCCTCGAGTCCCCCGTGGACGTTTTCGTGCACCAGGTAAGCGGGGGGGGGGGATCCATCCGGGAGGGGCGGAAGGAGCGGATCGGGAAGGTGGTGGAGGGGAGCGCGCTTCCTCCACAGGAGCTCCGGGAGACCGCTTGGGGCCTAAATAAACCCGGCCAGCATGGGCCTTACGGGGCCGGGCGCAGCCTGGAGAAGAGTTGGGCGTCTTAGGCGCAAAGTTTGGGAATTGCGCCTTGGGGCGGATCGGCCAGAGAGCGTAAAAACAGCGCAAGGGCGGCCGAGGTCTGCCGCTTCCCACCTTCTGCTGATTATAGGAAGGAAGGGCTCTTGCTTTCTCCTTGGCCAAAAAAACCGAGCCTCGCTTGGTGCCTGCGCGGATTTCAACTTCCACGCGCGGTTTTGCTTTGAGGTCCATGTGTGGGCCTTTTTTTCTCAGCTCCGCCCGGGCTTTTTTCCTCTCTGGAAGGCAGTTAAGTACCAGTTCTTGGGCTCTCCTTTGCTTTCCCGTCATGGTTTAGGGTTTAAGGCTTAGGTTGCTGTAAAGCGATAGCGGCTTAATTTCAATTTTTTAAAAAATCTACTCTCTTCCCCCCCCCTCTCCAAATGGCCCGCTTGGGACTTTGCCTTTACAAATGGGAAGGGGAGCCGGAAGAGCCGCGGCGTGGTCACTAATCACGATTGCAGGGATGGGGAAGGGAAGAAGCAGTTGCAAAAAAAAAATCCTCACAGGGAACTATAGAGTGTAAAATCTTCCTTTGGCAAACCAATAGGAAAAAAACATAGGAAGAAAAGGCTTTGTTCGCCTTTATTTCCCTGGGTTAGAAAGACACAAGAAAGAAGGTTCCATGTGGCAGCACAGAAGGAAGGTGTCATAACTAAATACACAATAATTAAATAACTTAGCTTGTTAACTTGTTAGCATGCTATATTTGCTTTAGCATGGCAATTCAAGCTGCATTAGGTTGGCTTGTACCACATCCTATGTCCCAAATCATGGTTTAAAAAAAACAAATGCTGTGTTCACACAATCCACTAAGCTAAAAGCAAACAAACTGGGTTTATGTAGCGTTGCTTTACATGCTCTCCAAAACAGAATTGATGAAGCTGCCAGCATCCTGCCTAAAGTAACTAAGCATGGGACCTAAAAGTGGGTAGAGGACTACTGGTCCTCCAAATGTTACTGGATTGAGCCTCCCAGGAGCCCCAGCCAGCATGATGGGGGGAATGCTGGGAATTGTAGTTCAGCATCTAGAAGGCAATCCTTTCCTTACTTGTGAAAGGACAAAGCACAGTGTTATAATAATACATTTTAGTAAGAAAGGCCTTGCTGGTACCATATTTCTTGGCTTGCAATCATCCAGTAGGCATAACAGTTCCTATACCACTGATGATGATCTGTCTCTGATTAATAGATGGTCGATATGCTTCCAAATGTTGCTTGAAGCCATTGCAGTGTAGTCTATTCCACTATTTGGGAGCAACTGCTTTCCAGATGTGTGTGTGTGTGCACCCTGTACATATCTAAGATTCAGGTGGTTTTGTAATTTTGATATCAAGTACCGATAAGACAGTACATTTTTGTGGGTAAAAGCTTAATCAACATTATCAAGCAGAATACTCTTGGGTACTGTGTTACCATCTTCTAAATTTTGAGAATTCAGGGAAGGGCTGCCCTAAGGGATTATTTAAAACCAGTTAACCAAAACTAAGCTGGTCTTTAATTAGAACCTGCAAGGTTGTTATATTAATATAATTTTATTAAGGACTTCCAGAGAAAACTGACCCAAAATGGGTGTCATATGAATTGTACAAAGGAAATTGAGTGTCAATAGGTACAGGGTTTTTTGTTTTACAACAGAAGTGTAACAAAATTGTGGATTTAAAGCCAGAAGTTGCAATGAGGAGAATTTCACAGATGATTTTTAAGGATAAGGGAATTTCATGGAAGACGGGCATAGCTGATTAGGATCCATTTCAAGTTGATCACATTCCCTGCTTAGGTTTTTGGTATCACCAAGATGGTTTTAAGGTATCAGAACTTCCTGTTCAAAGATAGTCTTCTAGATCCTTGTAGGAATGGCACACAATATACTATGCCCATGAGTGTCAGAGGAGTTGGCCACAGCTGGGGAATGGAGAGGAGATAGGTAAATGTTATTAAATGAGTGAAATAAATATTTGTGTCCCATAGGTGAGGAAAGAGAAATTTACATTAACAAAATTCCTTCATGTGGAATTTGAAACACAGGTACTTTGGTTTTCTTTACCCAAAGTTCATATCAGCTGACAATAAAATGGCTGCATTTTATATTTCACCCCTAAAGGGAGGGAACATTGTTTCCTTGCCCCAGCTGCAGCCCAAATCTTATAAGTACGGTACTTAATAGAGCCTTCCCAGATGATGCTAGCTTTGAATACAGTGAGTCTCCGTATTTCTATACTGTAAGCCTATCCTCTTTTTTCCACATTTTAACGGTGACTAACTGGTTTTTTTTAAAGTCTCAAAATCAAGCTTCCTATTTTCTCATTCCTGTTTTTCAAACCCCCCTCCCCATTCAGCCTAATGAATAATCCTAGTGAACTCAAAAACTTGCTCATTATTTTGGCTGATCTCTGTTAAGAGCTATCAACCAGCTGTGGGTTTTACTTTTTCTCTAAATGTACCACATGTCTTCCTTTGCTTCTTGAAGGTAAATAATAATTTGAAAAGTAGCACCTTTTGAATTAATTTCCTTGCAAGGATAGGATAGCCACATTCCTCATTAGACAGTTTTCTTCACTTTAATCATGTTTGTTCTTACCAGATCAGATAAAATACTGCCCCGGTTTCTGACTAGTACTTATTTTCTTTGGGGCCATGCCATTCTTGATGGTATTATGCTATCATCCACATGAAACCTCTTGTTGTTTACAGAGGAAAGATAAGCAAAAAGAAGTTCTGATTGTAGATGGCCTTGTTTATGCAGGTTAAGAAACTGTGGTACAACACCAATTCTGTAATGGTAGATTTGAATTTAGTGGTACAAGGTCCAAAATTATAATAAAAGTGTATGTATACTCCTTCTGATTCAGATGGTGAACTGAATGTTAAGATTTGACCATGAATAACCTTTTTGAAACAAAACAGTTCAGAAGAAAGCCACATTTAAGACAAGAAAATGATTACACTGTAAAAGCTAATTGGAAGAAGCTTCAAGGTTATCTTTGCTTGGAAACACCTTTCCTGGTCTTAATTTACTTGAGCAGTACTGAAGGGTGTATAATGCAATTTTGGGTAGAGATACAGCCTTTGTGCAACAATCCTCAAATATACAGACTCAGAAAAAAACCTCATTAATTTTACTGATGATAATAGTTAGGTGGCCAAACAAGATTATTCAGAAGAGGTATAGATGTTGACTTAGAAGCAAACCACTGTCCTCAATAGATTGGAATCCATAGCAATGCTGTAATCTTACACTTATTTTCCTTGCTAAGTTGAAAGAACTTTGCTTTGAGGAATGCATACAGGAGTGCATTTTCAATGGTGCTAGTTCATATGGTTAAATGCAGACTGTCCTTTTGGGGGGGGACACAGAAATGATAAGTTTTGGGTTTGATAAAGCTGTGGGGTTTTGAATGTAAGCTTGTGTGTGTAAAATATTTCATGATTCACATTTGCTGGCTTTTTTCATATGAGTTGTATTTTATAATGTCAATTCATTATGTAACAAGAAAGGTAGATGGAAACTCTAAACCACTTATTTTCAATTCTTAGATTAAGTTGGTTGACTCATGTAGAATTCATACATACAGACACACAGACACATATTAACACCCACAGCTGCTTTGGATAATTCTTTGGAATTTTCATGAAGTTTCATTCACATCCAAGCACAGGATAAATCTACAAAATGAATGGATGCAACTCCTGATTTCTGTATTTTATTTACCCTCACCTCTTCTCTGGGAATGATTTCCCCAGGTAAAGGCCTATATGAGTTGATGGAAAAGCCTGAAGGAAATAAACCTGGAATGCTGACTTCCCTGTTTTCTTTGGAGAGAGATGCATGGAGAGCCATTGGCTTTGTTTTAATCACCTTGTTTGTTGCATGGAATGTGGCTGAAATTTAGAGTTTTGGGAGATCTTTGAAATCCATCCCCATCACTTGGAAGGCAAAACAAAACATTTTGAATTGATTTTGCATCTGATTTCAAGCACTAATAATAGTCTGGTACAAAAAAAAACCTGAAGGATTCTGGATATTTTTGTAATGATTTTGCTATACCCCCACCTATTCTAGAAAAATGAATACAACTGTTTGAAATATGCATGTTTGGGGCACAGGAGGGCAAGGAAATCCTTAACATCAAGCTACTATTTCCTTTTTAAGATTGACTTTAATCTGCAAAACTCCAAGCTGAATGTTTTTTTTTAAACTTTTAAACTTTTTCCTTTCCCTGTTTTGTTGTTGTTGTAAGAATTTCCTGGAAGAATTCTGGAGATCTTAAAAGCATAATATCCTATTGTACCTTTTTTGTTGGCCCTAATAAAGGAATGTCCCAGCTGTAGATTCTGATTCTTCTTAAATCAACCCTCTTCCTTGTTTCTGTATTCTTTAATATCCAGACATGCTTTTGTAGCCACAGTTTCAGGATACTGTGTTCTATTGTGCTCTCAAAATCTTGGGGAGCTTCTTAGGACTGTGCTACACATTCTTTTATTTAAGTGCCTAGTATTTTACATTTCACAAATTTGTGGCATAATGATTATAAGGACAGGTAGACTCAGGTGATACATCTGATGAATGCTGATTAGAGGAGTTCAGATATAAGGGACCAGCCTTTCCTTCAGATGAAGAGTCACAGTCTTAGGTCCCTGGGCCACAAAAGGTCTTTAAAAAGCTTTGAATGTTTCTCCCCCAAAACGGACTACCAAATTTTAGTGTGACAGAAGGGAAAATCATGAACTATGTGTGCGAGGGTACTATTTAACATTTGACCTGCTTACTTTTAGGAAGGCTGCCTCTAGCATATTATTGTACATATCATTA